GCTCTAATTGTTGCCTTAACGTCTCCCAAGACAGCTTCGTTAGAAGTGAAGACGAGCTCATTTCACTATCGGTCCTAATGTCCAGTACTTCAGATAAGTCATACGACTTCAAGGGCAGGCCAAACTCATGCAAAGACAATTTGTCTAGATCTAGCAGAATGGGTAGTGAGGGTAGATTCTCAAGACTCACTGATCCACCAGCGTCACCAGTCACTCGATTAAAGAGTGTATCTATCTGTACGCTAGTATCACTCAGTGACCAACAGACGCCTTGAGTTGCATGCCATCACTCTGGCGTATTTGTCGTCTTTTTGAATAGCCTGAATTTCTTAAAAAGACTATAACAATCATGTTTTCACAGTTTATTGCATCATTCTGAACTTTTTCTGCACATGAGCTGGTGTCAATACCGACACCCGGTACAGTCAATGTCCCCAAGATTGACATGACCGGCAGACTTAAGTTGCTTATTTACGGAGCCGATGTCATTACTGACATCCGGGACTATACCGCCCCAAAGGTAAAGGAGTGCGACAACCTTGAATTTTCCCCCATTAAAAAGCAGATGTCATTATTAACAACTGGGACTGCACTATCCCCAAGGTGACGAAAATCGTCAGCTTTTATATACCCAATAGCAGAACCGATGTCATTGCCGTCATCTGGGAATACACTGTTCCCAACGTGACCAACTGTGTCCGCCTACATTGGTTTATTTCCGATTCGATGCCAATAATTACATCTGGTGATGAGTCACTTCCCCTTATATCACCACCCAGTGGGTACCTACGTGCCATTTCACGCCCATCAAATGGGTGTTGCCCTTGATGACTTGATATTTCGCCAACAATGTCTTGGCTGACAATCAGTGTGTCGCAGTCACGGCCAACATCTATTCGTAAGTACTTACGTACCACTTTATGCTCACCAGATGGGTTCAACCCATGATGACTTGGCTCTAGGCCAACAATGCATTCAGTATCCAGTGATTCGTTATCACAACGATAATCACTCGACGGAGTAAGTGTCTTCTTACAAACAGTCATTAAGTTTGGCTCCCAACTAAAGTTTTTGACATCTTCCACCTCAACGAGTTCACCCATACCGATGTCCAGCACACTGACTGTCTCAGTCCGTGGATCTCGCTGATAGCGTTTCCATCTCCTAGCAGAGGTGTGATCATCAGTCACCAAAGATCCGCTAGGGACAGTGTGCATTGCGCCTAAGGTCTTTGACCTACGATACATCCATGGATCATAGCAATTTAGCCAAGACGCACCGAGGATTAGGTTTCGCCTCTCGTTCAAGTCAAGGCCTAGACAGCGTTTAGTACTGTCAAAATACGAAAACACAATTCCTAGGGTCACAGGGACTTTAGGCACAGTGAATAATGAACCTGTCGCCAGGTGAACAGTGATAGGCACATTTTTCGTGCTGTGAGCGCCTCAGCATACTGCAGACTACCTTTAAAGGAACAACGTCCGACATAAAATTACCGTCTCTTCGATGTCGATCAATATCGAACATGGCTTATCAAATCCCTTTAACGTTGCTTTCACAACCAACAAGCCTTGTTTGTACTAATTCTATGTGACATTGCTAACAAAGCCATTTGGGGCTAGGCCCTGTCCTCCATCACCTCCCAGGGGCACAAAAGAGCATTAATCCTCTTCAGAAAGGCGCCCCGCGCCTAATGGGACTTAATGATTTTCTTGCGCTTTACGAACTCGTTGTTTAGCTACGGGGGGTCGGCCTAAATGAGCCTGTCCGGTCTTTCTTAAAGGACAATTGGGACGAAGGTGTTTACTACTTCCGCACGTAAAACACCTACGGATGTTCAAACACTGATCGACAGCGTAAATCTCAGCTTCTATGTCTCTCTCAGCGAGACTAAGATTCATGGGCTCTACCTTATTTATGAGATGAGCATTGCTCGACGAGTTCGCTTAGAACCCATGCGTTCTGTACGAGCAGCTTTAAAGTTGAACTTTGCGTTCAACGCTCTGTCCACAACACCCTCAAATGTCAAGGGTTGCGTACAAATTGCTACTGTTCTGGCAACGCCAGTGCAAAGACCCTCCATATTTATGGTTACCAAAACCGTCTCAAAAAAAGGTTCAAGTTGCATCGCCGCAATGAGAGTTTGCAACTCTGGACATAATCGACCAAATCTTTTATACTCCGGCGGGTTACCGGAAGCGTGATCGCACACGATACACCTAATTAGGCGGGGCAAAAAACCGAAGTAGCTGCTGTTTTAGCATGTCCCGGGTGGGAAAAAGCCTTTTCTGTCGAGGTGCCAGAAGTGAAGACCCACTCCCTGGCTTCTTTACCTCACTTCGGTAGGGTCAGGCTTACTTGCTGCTGCTCTGACCACAGCAGGGCCAAGCTGATGGCTGCCTGCATCTTTCGAACCCACATAGGAGTGTTTCTTCCTCTCTCCCCTTGTAAGTCTTGACAAAAAAAACTTAAGGACGAGTCCTTGACTCAGTGTCCGGTATTGGAATATACCGAGTGGCCATGGCAGTTGCAATGTGGTCATTTACCTGTCCTAACAACGAAAGATGTTTTAGAAGACCTCGAGACGTGCACGAAGTGCTTACGGGCCTCGCGAAACTATAAGATCCACTTGCTCGCGCCCGATTAACGCCTTGAGCTTCTCAGCGTGATCTGCTGGGCTTCATAGAATTTCATGGCCGTCTAAGTCCTCAAAAAGAATGCAGTCTTTGAAGACTCAGGGATTGATTGACTACAAGTGTCGTATGTGTAGCAGATCTACTTAGGGCTTCTTTACAGAGGAATTTTTGGACTTATCAAGCCTCTTAGTTAAACAAACCAACAAAGACGACAAGTCTTTTAAGCGTACAAGCTTAACAGTTCCGGTTCCAAAGGGATTACGATTCGTAGAATCACACACTAACTAGTCAGTACTAGTTCAACAAGAGTAAACGACTTCACACGGCTGACACTCTTACGACACACTATGCCTTGACTAGACACTAGCTTCTAACAATTTAAAAGGGGAACTGAAATTAATACATTCTTTTACTACGGTAGCAAAACCCTAAAACCTTTTCTGACCGACTTCTACATGCGATCTTATGACAGAAGTCAAATCCTTTATCCTTACCTGATAAGGTGCGGTATTGCCGTAAGTACATAATTCCAACACTGTGCCACTCAGATCCACCGATCTTTACTTGTTTGAAGACACAACATACTCAGTTCAACAACCGCGTGTAATTCCGTTACAGGCTGGGTGTAAGCTCTGGGGATGAAGGAGTGATTTTTATGAGCTGAATCTACGCAATTTCTCGCCTATGCCAATATGGCTGGACTATCAGGCCGCCATCAAGAAGACCGATTTTGAGAAGAGTATCTCGAGAGCCAAAGACGTGGATGCGCACATCGATATTATCTGTTATCACGCGCGAGTAGGGATCGTTGTACCGAGGTACGTGTTGCTGGAAAAATTAAGGATGCAGTATTGAACAAGGCAGTGCTAGCACCAAGGGTGGAAGGATTGCATGAGGTGTCCATATGAAGGCCTAGCACAATGTGTGCGAGGAGGAGGTTTGACAAGTATAAGTTTTTAAATTGCGCAGATGGATCAGTACGAAAACACGAACTGTTACAGGTAGAGTCTGTCTACACCACCTTGCTGGCGTGAAACACTACAAGACCTTTGGACGATATGCCGACAATATCTCCGACTTTGACGTGGTCAAGTTTAAAAACTGGTCAATGTGTAGGTTGTAGTATTGACAAGATGAGAACGGTTTGTTTATCACGCATCTATTTACGTTTGCTTGTGAACCCCTTTGCACAATGTGCTGCATTTGCACCTCTATACAGGTTGCGGGTGTGCGAAAGCCATTGACAAGAGGTATTAAGTGCAGAATACAATCGATGACACTTCCCCAAGCATCTCGACGCTTTTCACACTATAATTTATTTGCAACACTTGAACATATATCTGCTGGTCACCATAAACACAGTATAGAGATTGTCAGCCGAAACAAATGTGAAATGCTCTAAAATTAGCCTTTACCAAGGTATGAGCGACGATGGGGCTCGATTTTGGCAATTTTTCAGAAAATTGCGCTTTAAAACAAGGTGCTAGTCCAACTACTATCGATCATACTTGTGGAACGTAAGTGCCGAGACAAAAGCAGAGAGAAACATGTGCGCATTATAAATAAGCAAGAACAGCAGCAGCTCATCAGGTACGATTATAATTCTTCCCAATATTAGCACGGAAATAAGTATATGCTCTGGGCGAACAGAATTCAAGTCCATTAATTACTAGAATCTTGCCGTCCATCTTGCCCGGTCATTCCTCAACTGCATGAGCCCTTGAGACCCTCACTTGCGCTGTCAACTATCCTGAGATTATCAGCTTCACTGTTTGGTCCTGTTTGCTCTGATTATATTACCATAAGATCTGTCTATTCTCGTTGACACCGTAACACGACCCTGACGATGCTGTCATGGCAGCAAATTCAATGCGTGGCTGTCAAAATTCGCATTCGTGCGACAGCAAGAGCACCTGCATCGTCCTTTTCTGGTAAGTGGATGACGGGTTTAATATCTGATACAACAATCGACGGCCCAAAGGCATGTTACCGCTGCACAGGCCACAGCAAAACGGACTATTTCAAGAGAAGGGTGGACTCGCGGCTCAATTCATTACAGGTCGTGGACGCATCTCGATTTATGTAATTTTTTTCTAATCGAATGCGCGAGAGCACTACTTAAATTTCTTTAAACTTCCGCAATAGGAGTGAACATCCTCGATACATTTACGTAGTGCCGCTGCCGTTTTCATGAGGTCTTGTCGTCTTCGACTAAAGCGTATGGATACATTGTGTACGTCACACACCCAAATGTACCTCCATCTCCAGCCAATGGTACCGACCACACAAAAAACATGCGGCGATCCATGGGTGTCATTCGTCAGCCCTACTCTCACTTGTCGATTGTATCTCCTAAGCTGAAAAATGGACTTTGTCCGTCGTCCTGTGGACGGCATCGCCCAGAGCGAGAACTTTCCAGTCGGAGGGTTTCGCCTCATGGTGGCGCTCGTCGGCTGCATCGTTGTGGCTCCACTTATCCACTTGATGCGTGGCGAGACTTCCCGTACGATACAAAGAAGCCATAACGGCTGTGTAGATATACTCTGTCAGTGACTAAAAGACCTCAGCACGACTGTCTTTGTGCTGTAGGCCATATGTTTAATGTGGTGGTAGGTCTCTTTGTTGGTGTCTTCGTCTTCGACATCGCAGTGCTGCATACTATAGGCACATCAGTTGCCGTATACGTGCTAATGAACGTGGCGCCAAGGTGCGGAAATTAGAATTCATTGTATCCATTTATCGCCGACTGAGTTTGGTAAAATGGGCGACTTTAATGTGATCAGGGAAAGCGTTGGGCGTCTTGTGCTATCGCTGCTGCTGGTGTATCTCGTTGGAATGTGCGTGTACTTGCAACATTGAAAATGCTGTGATCATTGCTCTTATACGAAGCTTTCGCTGAATTTGTTTCGTTTTTGAAGCCATTACTACCGTGAATTTCACAGTCCAGACATCGTGTGGGACTCGGCGCAGATGATCTTGACGCTGAAGCTTGGCAGCGTCGCCATCAACTATAGCGACGGGGGTCTTTCTAAGGAGAAGAAAACGTCCACGATGCTGCAGAATGAGCTTCAGGAAATCCCGGCGCTAATTCCGTACTTTGGTGAGTGATGTAGCTATAACTTTTTTGATGCCGCTAGTCTTAACAATCGTTCTTACTTTTGAGGCAGGTTATATTTTCTTCTTCCCAACATTTCTTGCTGGTCCTGCGTTTGAGTACAAGGACTATGTTTACTGGATGAAGGTGGCCTTATTTCGTTTACCTGCGACAGCTGTTTGGTGCCGTTAACACATTGTTTTGGACGTGACAGGACATTCAAGTTGCCCCGTTCATGGCTCACCTCCGCAACCTATTCATAATCTTGGTATATCGCTGAACCTACCGACAGCAGCCCCATCTTTCTTTACGCTAGTGATTAACGTTCCGCGTTACCCTGTAGATTTCGGCGGCAGGCTTCTTTGCATCGCTGCAATTCCCAGTTGACAAGATTGACTCACCGGACTTTTATAAGGATTCTTCGTGGGCTGTGCGCTGTATTCTTATGTGCATTCCTGTCGTCTTGTTCCGTTTTCGCTTCGTAAGTTATTTCGTTGGTTTTAACGCTGTGTTGCTATCTAAGGGCGACTGATTATGCAACATTACCTTGTGTTAGTACTTAGCGTGGTCGCTGGCCGAGGCTGCAAGTGCTGCTGCTGGCGTTGGCTACGTGCAGGCCACTGGAAAATGGTAGGTGGACTGACTTTGATGGTTTTATTTTAAAGCGGTTTTGGCCCAGACTGTATTTGTAATGTCTGTGCGTGTGCTTCTAAGGAATGGAATTACGAACAATGATCTTCTGTGCGTGGAGATTCCTACCAATTTCCGTGTTGCTATTAATAACTGGAATATTGGCGTTGCTCGATGGATCAACACTTGTACGTCATAGCTTTTGCACCGGCTGCAAAAGTAGCAAATACTTCGGACTGACCGAGTGCACTCGCTGTCTGACATTGCTCCGTAGACATTTACCAGCGTGTCGGCCTATTGAAGTCAGGAAAGCCTGGCCTGTTGTCCACGATGGTTTCGTTTTTTATCAGCGCACTTTGGCATGTAAGGGCAGACTTGTTTTATCGTCACGCAGTACTCTGTCGTGCAAGGAATTACCACATGCGAATAACGAGTTTTTTTGTTGCTGTAAAAGGGACTCTCACCCGGCTACTACTTGTTCTTTTTGTTGGGTGGCATTTACATTGAAGTCGGAAAGCGTAAGTTTTTTGTCACTGCGTTGTCTGTGTTGCGTGACTTTGTTGACATTTCCTATCGATGGCTACTGTGATCAATTTAATGTAGACCTTCGTCGTCGCCTGAGACCATACTTTCACTATACGGAAGATCGCAAAGCATACCCACATGCTGTCTTCATGTCGTACTTTAGTGGTACCACCCACCCGCTGGCATTCTTTTACGACATCTCTGGTTTATGCCTGACATGGATAGCGATGCAGTATGCCGGTGTAGCGTTTGAGATCATGGACGTGCGCCGATGCCTGGCCATATGGAGCTCGTGGTACTTCGTTCCGCACCTGGTGAGTATTGGCCTCCTGGCTTTTTTTAGCCTCTCTCCTCAGCGCGGTCCTGCACCGGAGAAGATGAAAGGCGAGTAATAAGACGTCGTGACCAATGCATAAAGCGTGTCGATTGATAAATTTAGCACATGATGCGTCCGCGTACAGAAATGGGAACTAATACATGTTTCACTTCACGCCCGCCGAAGCGCTCAGTGTTATCAATATCCGCGCGAGTCGGCAGCATCGCGTGCTGCAATGGGAATCAATAGATGCACGTGGGGCTAGGGACCTATTTTCATGCTTGACATGAGCCAAGGGATCGAAGACATTATCACCTTGGGCAGAACCGATACCATTTTGTCTTTTATCAGAGCTTGTCATGCCGGACTTAATGGGCTTTCATCATGTCCGTTCCTTCAAACAACATCGCATAGGTGCAGCGGGATGCAATACAACAAGGGCAATCGCTTGGATAGAGCATAATTGCATCTCAGAGTTACTTTTGCAATTGGATAAGTCTCGTGATGTTCACTAATGACAAATATGCATATGCGGCGGAACGTCCGGACCATTTTTTGGCAAATTTTCTACCCGAGGCCGATCGCAAAACTGTTACGAAAGCAAGTCTGGACCTAAAGTTGCCGGTGGGTTTCCATCACCAAAGTCGGGATCGCCGTCAGCTGTCGAACCCACGCTTAACGGCTACTTCATTAGTGAGTGATCTGAATTTTGTTTTGAGCCTTGATGCATCTATCCAATGCTATAAGCATTGGATACGCTACCAATTTTGCAATGTGGCTGATGAGTGTTGCGGATGCCCAAATTTGGTACCTATAGAGAGAGCAGCCGCCCAATTGTTGTCACTTATCCCGGGTCTTGTGTACTACGCTACGCTTGCACGAACCACGATGTCTGGTGCACCCCTGGCGGCCTGTCATCAGGTCACTACTGCCAGGTCAAATTGAAACAATTTGCGGCAAGCGAGTATTTGCCGAATCCAGCGGGTGGAGTGGATAATGCTAGCTCTCTTAAACGACGACATGGATGCTCGGCTGTGTATGGACAACGGTATAATGACATATGCGGTAGTTTGTACCGAGGTGGAGATGCAAGCACGAGTAGAGACTGTAACTACACGTTTTTCGCACATTCCTTACTAACTAGAATCGTCAAAACACTGTGTGCAATTGACCTCGCGATAACGAATGAGGGGCATTTGCCTTACCGTTGCGATTTTCCTGTGAAATCGTCACGGTCAGGACTGGTTTTTTCACTCAATCGTCTTGTTAGGTGGCATTATCTATGTTGTACTGAAATGCGCAAGCAAAATACTATCTCGAGGGAGTTCTGTGTGAACGACGTATGACAAAGAGTTTTTGTAGCCAGCGGGTCCACTAAAGAAACAATCCACTCTGGAATTGGCGTTGGAAACTAATAAAAAGACAAAGAGTCGCGAGATAAGGTTGTTACTTGAAATCAAGATGTATACTTGGCTGGTGTTGATCAACAGCTTACGAGATAGTGCGAATGCTCGGCATGTCTCGTTTTACTGGTCTGAGCAGTATCTGGGGTAGTGCGGATAACAACAGCCCCTACGCTGTAACTTAGATCAACATCGACACAAGCATGTTGTTGTCGACGCTGTCACCAAGTCACCGAGAGAAAGAAAGATGGGTGTTTCAAAAGCGTAGAACCTCCGATCCGACTATGTCGATGATGTTGCTACGGCCGGCCAAAATTCGAACACGTCTGACCCATCGCATAAAGTTTCGCATTAGAATTTGTTGTATTCTAGAGTGTCCGGTGTGTTTTGTAGAGTACCCGCATCTGATCATAATGGAAACGCTTCATATGGCACGACGGTTAAGCATCAAATAACACTCTCGATTGACTTTATGCCGACGCCATTCGGACCACACATAGGAAAAAGCATCGTCAGATCTGTCTCGCTGCAATTCTAGCGGTATCGGTTCCCGAGAAGGCGAGAGGGATGGTACGCCCGAAACAGACCGGAGAACGACTGCAAGATCGGTGCCGCTCTGACCAAGCCTCCTCATGTTGTCATTTACATTTTGGGCGCAATTGGCTCGTCCAACTAGAAAAACACACTGCCGTTTCCTCTTCGCTTGTCTGCAACTATTCACTATACTGACTGCACAAAGTTGTCAAACGATAGAACCACGCCTCGTCGATATAGTTACCTTGCACGATTTGCTAGCTCGACTTTACTTTCTCCTACCTCTTGGTAATGCGTAGCGGCTATTTAAACGATGCCATCATCTGTGTACGCGTTTCATGCACACTCAATATCCGTCGTGTCTTTTGACAGGCGGAGCATATATGTCCCGACAAGCGTAGGCTTAAGCGGAAGACAAAAATGCACTAACACTTTTGTCTGAATACACCAGCATTTTAATTTTTGTGTGACCCATCCGACAGAGTTCCGGCTATCCATCAGGCTTATTTATAGATAGCAAATAATGGTTAAGCGAACGGTCAGGCCCACCCGTTCCGTCCACAATAACCTCCGTCAAAGAGCTGCTGAGATCTACAACCGGTCGTAGTCTTCGGTAGATAAAATATATATATATATATTCTATAATATAGAAGGCTCATTAAATGTTAGTAGTACGATGTTAGCGCAAAAAAAAAGTTGGCATCCTACGCAGCAATCTGCGTAGGGCTAAGCGCGGTTGGTCTGCTGTACCGAGTGTAATGCGAAGCGTTAAAGGTACGTAATATCACCACCGGCCTATACCATTGCAAGACTGTAACACTCAAAGACAGATGTAGCTTTGAGCCCGTGATCGAGCTTGACAAGAACGCATCCGGAGAAAGTGTTCGTCGACGTTTTTATCGAATGGACGCCAACCTGAATGCAGACTGCTAGCGTTGCAGTGTACAGCGCGCGATGGAGCGGTACCAATGACAAGGTCGTCTAGGCGCATTTCGCTAATTTGCTATACACCGACGAACGAATGTGCCTGCTAAATGCTTCGAAAATACACTTGGACAAGTAAGAACGATTGCTCGTTGGCATGAATTCTGGACAAGGCTAGGAATAGATTACAAATAGTTTCAATGTTGTGACACTGCTGTCCACTTTCCGTTAGGACCTGTACATCTCTCCATGAGCAGTGAGTCGTAATTTACCTAGTAGTTTTACCTCAGTGCTGAGCATGAAATGTTTTACTACAGTAAAACGCATGCTTTGTTAAGCACAGTCGATTCAGCTCGCTTATAATTTTTATAGGGATTAAGAACGATGGCGGGTGCACGTGTTGATGTCGATTACGGTCAATGCCAGCAGCACGAACTCGCTGAGTGGCTGTTCGCTTAATCAGTGTTGGCCACACAAGACGACTAGTGGACAACTCGTGCCACGGAGAATGTGTTTAGCTAAAAGAAGCCAAAATTGTTGTAGTGTATTCAGGCAAAACGGTCACTGTATGAGAAGCTACCCGGATCATACCATGCGACTTAAGCCACACCCTTAGCAGCTGCTACGTTGTCACGAGCCCATCCACAGGAATGTCCTCCTGCAGTGTGTGGCAAGTAAATCACAAATCCAGCACTAGCAAACTGCAAGCTTTGAAAAACCCGCTTCAGTCGCATCATTAGTACCACCTAGTGACGGAATTATGATGTACCAAGCTATTATACGGGCAACTGACCAGTCTAAGGCTGCAAGTGCCAAGCGTAGTATTGGCTTGGCACTTGCAGCCTTAGACTGGTCAGTACTTAAATTATTTTTGCACTGAAATGACCAGGAAAGAGCAGCGATCGGCTCGGGCGCGGTTCAGGTGCCGCAGGCATTTTTTTATCCATTACAGCGAAGATGTCGCTGCACAGAATTTCACCTTGTGATGTGTATGACCCATCGATGGTGTTACCATTTGTTACGTCTGTGACCGCTGTGCCCGTTATCTTTCCGAACGAATCCCGCAAGCGATAAATAATTCATCGTACTATTCGAAGTCGTAGTTCGTAGCTCACAGCGACATCGTACTATTAACATGATTGTAAACACATTAGAGTAAAAAAAGTTGTGACGATTAAACATTGATGAGCTGCTCGATGCACCTTGTTGTCCAAGCCTGGATGAAAAGCCTGGCACTCGTTTTTGTCCGGTGATTAAATTATACTAAGTACGTCGGCGACGATATCGAAAACGTCATGCTACGCTGCTATACGACAGCACTTGATTCTTTCCTATGCATTAGTACTAACGAACCATGCGAGATGCTTGTTGCTCTTGAGCGCACGATCCCCGCAGCACCGACGCGTGTCACGGTACGTGGTTCCTATCAATTTCTTGCACAGCCCGTCGAACGCGCTCACGCGACACTCGGAGCGTTTCTGTAACGGGGCAACCTTTGCACAGCCCGTCGAACGCGCTCACACGACGATCGGAGCGTTTCTGTAACGAAGCACCCTTTTTTTGGGGTGCCACGAAACTTCACATACACTAGTACGTACAGAGGAAGTTAATCTACTCAACGACTAAGCTGAGTAAAGGTAAAAAGAGAACTGTATAATATATAGTAGCTATCAATGTAACTTTAATCTTTATCTAACTATAGTAAACTACGCCGTCGTATGACCACAACCTGCTCACCACTCATTGCGCGCGTCTAGCAGCGATTGGTGGCAATCTATGGTTGATATGTCTTTTTATCAACCAATCTTTGAGCAGCGCATGAATACTATCCTAAAAGGGGATAACATTCCTTTAAAATAATCCATCTCGGATAGTATTGGTAAGATATTGTCATGCTAGACAATATGCCTATTGACACCGTTTGGTGTCAATATCATGTAACGGCCTACACCGTTACATCATCCTCCCCCCTTCACCATCAATCACTTGTTGATGGGATTGATCTGATTGGGACAAGCTGACCACCGTTAAATCACTCTGGAAAAGGGGGGGGCGTTTGTTGGTCAGATTTCAACTCATTTGCCAATTCATCGCATGGTGTCAAAGTCTGTGCGGGGCGATGCTGCAGCAGTCAGAACGGTGGTCGCACGCATGCGTGAAGCCGAAATGAGTACTTCAAAAGCCTCATAAGCAGGCGGTCATTCGCCTGCTGTTG